AGAATGATGACGGTTGGCCTCACTGCCAACAGATCAAATGCATTCCTACTTGAGGGTCTCTGTTCTGTGTAAAGCACAGTCTGTTATTTTTACTACCACATCGTATGGGTTTAGCATCACAGTAGAGCCAAAAGTACTCAAAAGTCTGAAGATGTGGGTACAAACACTGCTTCTGACCGACCACAGGATGTAGAGACCCCAATCCCTGCAAACATCAGCTTCTTCTGTAAAAGGGAGATTGCTCTAGGGGCCTTAACTACCTTCTAGGAGAGGTGTCAAGATGAAGTGAAATCTTACGTTTTGCAAAGGATTTTCTATGTTTTAGTAAAGTGATATAAAAATAGAGTGACTGTGGTAATGAAGGTCATGTGTCAACTTGACTGGCTGGTCAGCTGGATGTAGTTATTCCTCATGATGAGCTTGGTCATCAACTCCATGGTGGAATCTACTGGAGCAGCTGAGTAGCTGCCCTAGAGACGTGGTCTGCTTGCAGTACACGAGGAGAAGTGTTGAGAAAGGTCTGCAGCTTTTGGTACACTTGGGCCCTGCACGCAGCTGAGTCGTTGTTCAGCAGCCTGCCATGCTATCTGCCAATCTTGGGACTGTTAATGGACTTGAATCAGTGGCCTGTGTGTGGTTTGATAATTTGGGGGCTGTGCCATTATTGACCTTGAGTTTGTCAGCCTCAGCAGCCAGCAGCTGCCTGAGTGAAGAAAAGCCTCTACCTTCAGTGGGCGAGGAGCAAGAGGCAGAGCTGAAGCCCAACGTCAAAGGGCTTTCCCCCAGCCCCTAGAGCTGGCACATCTTCTTTAAAACTGTAAGAGAATAACCTCCTGTTTGTTAAAGCCACCCATCTGTGGCATCTTCTCTTAGAGCGGCACTAGAAGAAACCAAAACAGTCACCTTACCTTGTGTCATTCAAACCAGAATGCTTTGAGAGTAAAAGGGGACACTATCAGTAATTGTTGTTGTTATGTGCCGTCGAGTTGGACCCGACTCATAGCGATCCCTCCTTGGGTTTCTGAGGCAGTATCACTACAGAAGTAGATTGCCCCATCTTCCTTCCGAGGAGTGGCTGGTGGGTTTGAACCACCAGCCTTCTGGTTAGCAGTCAAGTGCCTTATCCACTATGCTACTATCAGTAATTATGTTAGAACAATCATTGTAAAGCAGGACCATACTGGGCAAACTTGGCTGTATGGTCACTCTGTATCTGTAGCTCTCTATTTATCTATCTTTCTATAGTTTTATCTAAAACCATATCTACAACTATATCTGTACATTTATATCAATATCTTAGGAGTTCCTGGCTGGCGCAAATGTTAAGCGCTAGGCTGGCAATGAAAAGGTTGGCAGTTTGAACCCACCCAGAGCTGTGAAAGGTCACAGCTGTGAAAACCCTACAGAACACAGTTCTACTCTGACACACATGGGGTCGCCACGAGTTGGAAGCAATTTTTTTTCTTTTTAAATCTATATATTTATATCTATGCCCACGTCTAATCTCCATCTACATCAATTATGTACTGATGCTGGTATTATTTACAATCAGCTGGGACTACTGCTGTCTCCTCATTTCTTTCCATCCACTTCTCCCTCTCGTACCCATTTCTCACCAGAGCACAACTTTTCTGAGGGTCTTTCTTGCCCTTGCCATTTCTCTCTTCACCTCTGTCTCTCTCCTGTCCCCTAATCTGTTCTCTCTCTTCACTAGTAACAATATGGATTTGAGACATTTTTATTATTTATACCCACCATTTTTCTTAAAGAGTATTTTCTGTTTCTTAAAAGGTTGTATTTTATATATCTCCAACACCAACAAGAGTGGTCCTTTCTTTCTTTTTTTTTTAAATTGTGATTTAGGTAAAAGTTTACAGAGCCAATTCACTTTCCATATGCAGCTCACATACACTTTGTCTCATGACACTGACTACAATTTACCACAATGCAACAACTCCCCTCCCACTTCCTCCCCAGAGTTAAAGAGTGGTCCTTTCTTAAGGGAGAATGTGGTGTAGTTGAACAAACAGTGGGTTAGGATTGAGCACATGTGTGTGGCTTAGGGAAAGCCACTCGATCAAACTGAGTCTCAGTTTTCTCATCTGGAAATTCCTGCCTGGAAGCCAAATAAATGAAGTCACTTCATTTGTGTTTTAGAGCAGCAAGCATGGCTGTGCATCAGAATCCTCTGGGAACCCCCTGTTCCCAGGCCCCACCTCAGGCCCAGGCATCAGTAGTACCTGTTCCTTGTGTTATTCCCACATGCAGCTAAGGTGGAGAGCCATTAGATTATAGACTGTCCAATACTACGCAAATGTCCCCTACTGTGTGTGTACTAACATCCTTGATTTTCTTAACCTTGTGGCTCAGCGACTCTTTAGAAAACAGGTTAACCCTATTAATAATTGAAGATGGGAGGGGGGAAGGTGAAATGTTAACATACTTTGAACTATGCTGGGCCCTGTTCTGAAAGAGCCAGAATGACAGACTCATCTCATCATCTAGGCCTTTGGGCCCAAGAAGCCTGCCTCCTCCCATAGCTCTGCCCATCTCGGAACTCAACCTAATTCCATCAAAAGCAACTGTTTGATGTAGCATCTTTTCATTTCCAGTGACAAGATAAACCAAAACCAAAACATCTAATTTCTTTCAAAAAGAGTATATGAAAGAGTGAAAACTTAAATGCAAAGGTGTTAATTACTAACCACAGATTAATATTCAATGATCCTTTGAACATGTAAGACTAATGAGTACAGCTTTCTCCCGTTCTGCAAACCCCAACTCCCTGGAAACTCTGGTAATGAGAGTGTCTCATTGTAATAGACATTACTCAGTAGGTAAGAAAAAAAAATCAGAATGATTCTCATTATAAATAAAACTCCTTAATGATAAAGAGAGAACATCACTTTCAGAAGTATAGTTCTTGACATCTTAGAACAGTGTCTGTTGGAGGACTTTGGAAACTTCTTTTTCTTCTTTCCTGCCTTTTCAGCTTTGTCCCTGGGCAAACACTGCCCTTTTGGTCTTGTGTGGTTGATTGTTTTAAGGAGCACGTACCTCCCTGGTGTGACTGTTCACCTTAAAGTCCTATTGTTTGGCTGGAAGTTGAGCCAAGGGGGTGAGTTCCGTTCCAGGTTTGAAGGGTGCCTAACGGCCATAGTCTCAGGGGTTCCACTAGTCTCTATCAGACCAGTAAGCCTGGTCTAGCCTATGATCTTGAGTTTGGTTCCACATTTTTCCTCTCATTCTATTCAAGTACAAATAATCTAACAAAAACAACAGAATTGGAAAAGTGACAAATTGTGGATCTGGCATTCGAACTTTGTTATTCAGGAACCAGTGCTGGTTTCTCTATGAAATTGCTCACTTGCTCCTATGTGTTTCAACAGCTGGCACTGAGTCAGTGTAAATGTTCAAATGACACCCAGTCTGGCCCGTAAAAATGTCAATGACATGAATGGAAATGAACACAGGTAGCTAGCTGGAGTTCCTATTATCTCTAACCTGTCTGACTTGGTTTCGGTTGCTACTTATTGATTGAATCACCTAGACTATATGCCAATCCAAAACCAAGCAAGAGAAAAGAAAAAATCCGTTTTTAACTGAGACGTCTACTTTCATAAATTCATCATCCATGTCTTTTAAAAATTACATTTTCTTTGGTAGAAACTTTTATCATTTTAAGTCAAAGCATCAAGGTCACCTCAACTTAGTCCATTACATAAATTCATAATCATGTGCAAGCTAGATGGCACAATATAATGTCAAAATACTGTCTTTCAAGCAGCATAAAAGGGACTCGGGCCAACTGTATGAAATTAATGACTCAAAATACAGGGTTGAAGCAAAATGGTCGGTCTTTTTTCCAGTCTTTGAGCTTTCTGGAAAGATTCTGCTCCCACTACCATTTCTGTTGTAGTTTCTCTGTGTGCACCAGATTGGGAATCCTCAAAGAGACAAACGATTACTTTCCACAGACTCCCTGAGATGAGCCATGTTCAAGGGCAACTTGGATCTTCTTGGGATGGACCCAAGAGACAAGACCCTCAGCAACACACCGTCTTCAAAAGAGGGCAGCCTCTGCTTTCTGCAGAGATTTAGGGGAAGGTGAGAAACCTGAGCTTCAGAGGTTGGAAACTGCCACACGTTCATGTATGTTCTTCCTCCGACTACTTTCCAGCAATCCCAACTGGATTTGGTCCATCAGACCAAACTCCAAGAAACCAATCTTCGTAGGTATTTTAATTTTAAAAAAGAGAATCCCCACCTCATCATGATAATATGTTCACTAGTCAGTTGTTGGTCAGCTTGGCTGGAACTCAGTAGTTGTCAAACCCTTTTCCCCTGGCCTCTAACCTGGGCTTGATTTTATTAGGCAACAGTCAACCATGCTTACTGATTTCAAATCTTTTTCACTAGTTTCTCATCATTAAGAATGTTTTACTTAGCTTGGAGGAGAAAGCAGGGTGGACCCTGGGCATTTTGAGAAATACAAGTGTTCTCCTCACACATCTGGAAAAAACCACAGCACCTAACAATCCCAAACCTTACCAATGTTATTGGAAGAAACTTTAGATACAGAATGCAAAAATCCTTGGAGTGGAGCTTTCTAGTTACAGTTGTGCCAGTAATATCTCAGCCATTCCTAGAAAAATTTCTAAATGATGCTCCTCCATGTTGAATGTTAGTTATCAGCCACAGTACAATGAATTTAATTGGCCTGCAATCTAATAATGGAACGGTAATAATAGCAATCATTACCATGCCCCTCAGGGCCTTGTTACTCAAAGATGGCGCCTGCCCAAGAACAAAGGGAATGGGAATCAACCCCATGTCACATGATACAGAAGGGAGAGGAGGTCAAGCTGCTTGAGTATTGGCCTCCAAAGGCCTGCGAGTTCCTAATTTAATTATGTTCATTCTCCTAAGAGTCAAAGGTCAAGAAATAGAGAGGTCCACATAGCCAAGGGTTTACGGTTCATGCCATCTGCTCAACTTACTTGATGAAGCAGTCTCGCCCGTCTCGGTTTGCCGTCATCTCCCATCCATAGGGCGGCACCTGGTTCAAGGCCCAGGTTCCTGAGGGAGGTGGCCAGCCTGAAGACTTCGTCCTGTGGCTGGAAAAAAGAAAAAAGAAATCATCATTACATCTGATTCTTGAACATTTCCTGACACACACTCCAGAAGGAGCACGCAGCTTGCTCCTCTAAACTGTGGGCTGTAACCCTCAACTGCTGAAATGGACAATGACAAAGAATACTTGTCAAGAATTATCTGGAAGGTTGCCTTTCCAAGAACAAGGGAAAAGGGGAAATGATGGTATATTTCAATCGTAAAGAGCATGTTAAGTAACTGCTAGGCTTTTTCCTGTATACTATTTTGCTTACTTTTCCACAAAAGCCCCATGAGGTAAATGCACTTACTCCATTTTACAGGTGAAGAAATAATGAGTGGTGCAATAAGATGAAACACTTTTCCTAAGGAGACACAAGCCAGTTTTGAACAAAAGCTCTGTGTACCTTCCATTATAGCAGACATTCCTGATACCAGACGTCAGAACAGTGTGGCCATACAAATAGATTTTACACCATAATATAAATACACATGTGAAAATAACTGCTGTGTTTACAGATCTTCAGCAAATAACCCTGATCCCCAGTTTCCTGGATTCCTCTGACCCAAATACAGATTTTCAGATTGATATTGGATGAGTCACAAAATCTTAGCTCAATCTTCAATTTAAGTTGGAACAAAAATCCACACATCAGCTCTTACAAGTCTCAGGCCATATTTTAAATTTGACTCATTAGGAAAATGAAAGAATAGGTTACCAAGAATTTTCCAGAAGGCTGCTTTTCTAAAGGGAAGGAAAAAAGGCCACAGCACAACCAGCTGGGCTGGGCATCATTGTAGAGTGACAGTTCATAACCAGAGGACCAATCCCAGCTTCTGGAAGCTCACTCAGCTCCTGAACACTTTGGCTCTGCTGGTCACCTGCAGAAGTTCTGCCCTTCCCTTATTAATGGTCAAGAGTCCTTCTGAAGGTAACCAGGCATTGGAAAGGAAATAAGCAACTCTGTTTTAGCATCAGCCATTGTCATTCATCATTCAGTCCTTTTGACTCTGGTGGAGCCTCTGTAGTTCCAAAGCGCAGACTGGTGGCAAACTGTGTATGTGTGTTGGGGGAAGAAGTGATGCCATTTCCAGGGACCGGTAGTCTGAATCTCCACAGCCTACCTGGAAAGCTCTGACAATGAGAAGCAAGCATCTACTCTGGTAAGATGAGCACAAAGCAGGTACCCTTCCCAGGGACTGAGGCAGGAATTGGTCAGGTAGCTGGCAAGGGAGTGACACAGGAGCCCAGTTTCAGTTCCGTGTGCCCCCTTAGCCTGGCAATCTGGCACAACCTGTCCGACCACACATGGTAGCTCTTTCACAGCCTGCTGCCCTCCCACCACTAACATCCAAATCAGGGCTGCAGCCTTCCTGTGAGGAGGGCAGCCTTCTCATTCCCCAGGACGTGGGGCGGCCCCTGCCCCCAGCACATGCACCTGAGGTGAAACAAGCCCATTTCCTTTAAATTTTCGGCCGAGGAACAGTTTTGCATCATTTCCACCACCTCTGTTGCTTTGCTTTGAGTTCCTTTCAGCTTTCCCACACCCTTCATAAAGTACAGTGAGTAAAAGCGTTTACCACGTCAGTACAAGTTTGACAAATTTAGAATGCCACTATAGGGGTATCTCTCGCCTGTCGACTCTTAAAAGAAAAGACACGACAACGTGTTTTCTTCCTCTTCTTCCTGCAAAAGTCAGTGGTGGTGATTTCCTCTGGGGGTCTTTAAAAAACATATGAGCTGCTTCCCTGCGGGGAAGGAATATATGAATCTGCCACCCTCAGGTCCTCCAAGAAACTGCCAATCTCTTGACACTGGAGGAGAAAGCCTTTGGAAAGATTTCTGAGGCAGTAGCAAGTAAACAAGCTCTTAGGTGAACGGACACAGTATATCCTATCAAAAAATGTTTTCCAAAAGACCAGCACAACAAGGTGAGCCGAAGAATGTTCTTGTAAGTGAAGAAGGTCCAAGTGGGAAGGTGATGATTTATTCCAGACTACTAAATGATGCCCGCTATCAAGATGTTACTATTTAGCAAACCAAAACTCCAAACTCACTGCCAGCAAATTGATTCCAACTCACAGCAATCCTTTAGGACTGAGTAGAAATGCTCCACAGGGTTTCCAAGGCTGTCAATCTTTACAGAAGCAGACTGCCTCATCTTTCTTCCACAGAGCAGCTGGTGGGTTCGAAACACTGACCTTTTGGTTAACAGCCAAATGCTTTAACCAGTACACCACCAGAGCTCCTTTTTCAATCTTTATCAGAGGGAGCTAATTTATTAGAAACAAACAAACCTTCTTTCTTTTCATTTGATCTTGCTTTTTACCCCTCCCACCCCAGTCTTAAGCACTAAAAAGCCATCAAGTCAGATCCAACTCATAGCGACACCTCCTTGGGTTTCTGAGGCTGTATCACTATGGAAGTAGATTGCCCAGTGTTCCTTCCATGGAGTGGCTTGGGAGTTTGAACCACCAGCCTTCAGGTTAGCAGTCAAATGCTTTAGGCACTGTGCCACCAGAGCTCCCAAGGAAAGGCATAGGTTGGCTAATAGAATCGATGTGTAAAATACAGCATTATAATACTGAGCCAGAGGAAGCCTGCATTGTATTATAAACAACATTCCACCCTATACAGTATGTTCAGGAAGCAGCAAACAACAGCTCAGCAAGATGTTTTCAAATAGAGTCTTTTTGTCACAAAACACCAAGTGAAGTGCAAATACTGGAAGAAGCCACCAACACTAATTGAGTTAATGCAGGCCAAAGGGCATCAGCTGGTGTCAACCAAACAATTGAATAATTCAAATCAGACATGACTGCTCGTCAGTTTGTTAATGTGCTGACATAAAATCCATGAATCTGATAGGGCTTAGTAGAATTTAGCAAATGAAAAGTGCAAGCAGAGAAAAAAAAAAAGTACGTATAGCTATTTGTTAGGTCTCTAACCATAGAGGTGGTGGTAGTTCTGTGGTAGGATTCTCGCCTTCCATGTTGGAAAGCCGGGTGCGCTTCCTGGCCACTGCATCTCATGCGTAGCCATCACTCATCTGTTAGTGGAAGTTTGTATGTTGCTATGGTGCTGGACAGGTTTCAGTGGAGCTTCTAGACTAAAATGAGCTAGGATGAAAGGCTGACTGATAGACTTCGGAAAACCCTCTGGATCACAACACTCTGATCCTCAACCAGGAGGCTGGCATCTTGTTCCATTGCACATGGGGTCACCAGGAGTTGGGGCTACCATCAACAACCACAGCAGTCTTGGGAAAAGATCAAGGTCCAGTGATAACTGTGGAAAGATTTGGGTACCGCTCTCAAGCAGTGTTATACTGAATTCCAATCTCAACAATAAGCAGCTTAAAAGCTGGTGGGTTACCCTCTGCTTACTGTGGTGAGATGGTCCAGGGACCTCCTTTCCCTGCTCTCATCTCTATGGCTGCACCAAACTCTCCACACTCCCAAGTGCCTCCCACCCCATTGCTACACAGAGTGACACAAGTACAAAGAGGTCACTCCTGGCAGAGCAGCAGCTTAGCATATGTAGGAGCAGAGCCCCCTGGCTCTTTTGGGCTAGAGCCCCCTTTGAGGTGGAAATTCTAGGCACTTCCTCATCATGGACCCATACTACTCTGAGGACACATTCTGTGTACAGCTCCCAGTCTGGGGCAACAATGCCACCCCTGTGTTCCTGTGGCAGATGCATGTCTTTTACTTCTCCCACTCCAGAAAGAGTCTGTTTCAAGTTCCTAGACAACTTCCAAGGGGCTGGGGCTTTTTATTAAAAAATTCTCCTCCCCTATGAATGAAGTCCCAAATGCTCTAACCCAACCTGTCAAGATATGCCTTCACCTGGGGACCAAACACTACTCCACTGAGTCCAACACATGAGAGCAGACCCACCAGCTCCCCAACTAGACTTCAACCAAACCACAACCTCCCAACTGTGTCGATGAGGGTGATACAGGATTACCAAACCCAACCCATTGCTGTTGAGTTGATTCTGATTCACAGGGACCCTACAGAACAGAGCAGAACTGCCCCCATAGAGTTTCCAAGGCTGCAAATCTTTACGGAAGCAGATTGCCTCATCGGTCTCCTGTGGAGCAGCTGTAGAGTTTGAACCACTGACCTTTGTATTAACAGCAGAGTGGTTAGCCACTGCACTACCAAGGCTCCTTTGGAGAGCTAAGAGCCAACTTGAAGGCACGCAACAACAACAACAACAATCCATTCCCAGAAAAGAAAGAGGGCAAAGGCTTGGTCATCTATTCTTTTCCAATCTGGCAAAAGCCAAGGAGGGTAGGGCTTAAGCAAGTAACTTCCCCTTAGTGTAGGTCAATGGTTGAGTTCCTTGGGTGGTGCAAACGATCAACATGCTTGACTGCTAATCAAAAGACTGGAAGTTCAAGTCCACCAAGAGGCACCTCGGGAGAAAGGCCTGGATGTCTATTTCTGAAATATCAGCCACTGAAAACTCTGGGGAGCACAGTGCTCCTCTGACCCACATGGGTCGCCATGAGTTGGAGACAACTCGACAACACTAGTTGACAAGTTCTGCCATTCTCAAGGCAGAGGGACCCAGCAGGAGTTCCCAGAGACACAGCCATCCCAGCTGTGCGACCTTGTGCACAAGCCCCACGTCTCAGGGTCAGTTGCTATTTGTCTCAGGCGAGGCCCTGAGATGCCTTGTGGCTCTGGTGTTCTGTGATTCTGATCTGAGATCAAGGCTGTATGAACCACTTTCAAACACTTAGCTCAGCCGTAAAAATAGCGACCTACATTGTCAGCGCTATTTAAGTCACTCCAGAAACTGCCCAACATCTGAGTGAATTAAACTAGTTTGCTACTTTGGGCTTTGCCCAGCTATTGTTTTCAGCAGACTGAAAATATCCTGGACAAAGAAGATCGTCACCCTTTTAAGATGAGAGAGCAACTAGGAATGCTACAGGCAGTTTGGTGGAAACAATTTCCTTTCCCCTTGTATGTGTGCCTCTGAGCCCTGGAT